ACCACTTTGTTTTCCTTTTTCAGCAAGACATCAAATAGTTTTATCCACAAATGTGAATCGTGATAATTAATGGCACACAATGTTTCTCATTTAAAATCTAATCTAAAAGAGGTGGACACAAATTATCCAACCCTAATTGAAAAGCTAAAAGCAATAAAACAGCCTTCCTCTACGTTAATGTGATTCTTGAATGGGTGGGGAATGAAGTACTGTGCTTAGAGGTGGGTAGTATCAGTAGCGGTGAGGAAGTTTCAGTAACTTTGGTGCTGCTTTTTTACCCAAAGTTCCGAAACACCGTCAGTGGGCACATTTTCAGGGAGCAAAATTACAAGAGAGCTATTTGCGTTAATATTAAAATTGCTGTCCATATTTCTGCTGAGGATGGCTTACAAAACTGGATAATGCACATCTGTCTCAATAATTCACAATTGTTTATGATCCTTTTTACAGCCACTGTTCAGCTACGAGAGTGACTGAGCTCATGAGACATTCACAACACAAGAGAAATATTTGAAATTATTTTTATTTTACCCAAAGGGATGAAACTATTTCCAAAAGGTAAAAATAAAGTAGGGGCAGCAAGATAGTACGCTGGTTAACAGTATCAAGTCAAAGCAAGAAGGTCCAAGGAGGTCGGGAGATATGAATGTGAGCATGAAGGATTATCTGTTTTCTGTGTGTTGGCCAAGTGATAGACTGGTGACCTGTCCATAGTGTATCCTTCTTCTTGACCCTATGACAGGAATTAGTGATAGGAATTCCGGCTCTTTTTAGAGAACCAGCACTTTCGGCTCGGCTCACTTGTCGCTTTAGTTAATTTATTATCAACAACAATATAAAAATATGCACAAAAGAAATTACTAATGTAAAAAAAGGGTGGTTTTATTTATATATGTTTATATATAAATATATACGGTGGCCCCTAGAGACAAAGCACGTACAAACTCCAAAACACATTGCCAGCGTTAACTGAACTTCCAAAACAGAGCTACCTAGATCACTTAAATTACAAAATTGAAAGTATATGTCTATTGTTTGTGTATTTATACACAAACACTCATATATACCCATATGAAAGTGGCCACTTTCTCATTACTTTCATACATTGTTTTAGTAAGTATCCAAAACATACAAGTTTCATTATATAATTTTTCAAGGGATCTTATATCTGTTTTCACTCTTATATGCTTTTCATACAAGTTTCACACAAGACAGACACAAACTTTATAAGATTTATATATATCTTTTCCATATGGGTATATTCAAATAATTTAAAAAAAATCCTCATTTACCTGTTACTACTACCAGTGTTGGTCAAGTTACTTGAAAAAAGTTATCAGTAACTAATTACTGATTACTTCCCCAAAAAAGTAATCCCGTTACTTTACTGATTACTTATTTTCAAAAGTAATTAATTACTTAGTTACTTTTTAAAAACACGATTTACAACCTGAATAGGTGATAAAGCGACAGATCTTTCAGCCCAATTCTACTTTTTCTACATACAGGGAGTGCAGAATTATTAGGCAAGTTGTATTTTTGAGGAATAATTTTATTATTGAACAACAACCATGTTCTCAATGAACCCGAAAAACTCATTAATATCAAAGCTGAATGTTTTTGGAAGTAGTTTTTAGTTTGTTTTTAGTTTTAGCTGTTTTAGGGGGATATCTGTGTGTGCAGGTGACTATTACTGTGCATAATTATTAGGCAACTTAACAAAAAACAAATATATACCCATTTCAATTATTTATTTTTACCAGTGAAACCAATATAACATCTCCACATTCACAAATATACATTTCTGACATTCAAAAACAAAACAAAAACAAATCAGCGACCAATATAGCCACCTTTCTTTGCAAGGACACTCAAAAGCCTGCCATCCATGGATTCTGTCAGTGTTTTGATCTGTTCACCATCAACATTGCGTGCAGCAGCAACCACAGCCTCCCAGACACTGTTCAGAGAGGTGTACTGTTTTCCCTCCTTGTAAATCTCCAACCCGTTCTCACTCCCGACGCGTAAAATAATGATGATTTGTCACGTCCCTTAACTTCTCATGCTGACGCCTAAGGTACCCTTCCACGTTTTTATGTGACGCTGTGGGTTGTCAATTCATTCCAATATGAACCCGCTCGCGGCGATCAGAGACGCTTCGAGCAGAGGCTCCAGCCATCCATTTACTCCAATAATAACCCCGTCACGGCGAAACATGACGCCGTGAAGCACAATCTAACTGGAGAACCGGGGACCCTCTCCGCGAACGGGTTTTTCTCCCTAATTTAATGCTTTCTTTTAATGACATCGTTAACATTTCTCAACAAAAACACGAAAGTATCACTGATAATTCAACAATAAAATTGCTTCATGTTGTGGCCATCACACAGTGTTTTCCAAACTGATTCACGATCTGAAAGTGCGCAGATTTAACGTACATAATCCTTTGTTAGGTTTATTATTTTCATTTCACACGTAAAACACATTTATAGATTCATTCACCACTCCTGTTAGTTTTGGACGCGCTCGGCTCCAGCCAATCAGACGCAACCTGTGTAAGCAAAGGCTGATGGGAGAACGGAGAGACCCATTTATAAGAATAAGAAAATGAGGCGGAACTGATTGATTCTAATGCAGGTATGTAAAAAATACATATATTTAAAGTAATACCTTGATGTGTGTTTCAAAGTTTGTTTTTTCATAAAAGCTTCAAACAAACAGAGGTGACTGATCTCGGAAACGGTGTAATGTATTTAAAAATGGCTACAGCTACCGTCAGCATGCTTGCTAGGTAACGACTACACGTGTCTACTGCAGCATTAGCCATTTAATCCAACGATGATGGATTAAATCTATTACAAACGTTAAAGGACTTGTGTGCTGCAAAATACCCTCACATGGTGCGTAAAGCAGTTTTTGCGCTAAGAGTTCTGCTAGCTCTTTACAAACTGATGATGCTAACATTAATTGCTAACATTAACCGGAGCGCCAAGACTGAAAATCATTTGAATTGCGTTAGTTATGTGTTTATGTCACTGAGTTCTGCAAAAATCTCTTTCCTCTTTAGCTTGAAAATGAGTGATTCAGAGGATCCCGAGCTGGAGGAAGAGCTTCAGGCTGCTGACGAACTCCTTCAAGATATGCAGGTAACATTTTTAGTGGAAACAGTTGTTAAAGAGGGAACACGCTTGTCTAATATTTTGTACGGAGTAAATGTTATGTTATTTGAATTTTTTTTAAAGTTTATGTCAAATTAAGTTGGTTAACTTAAGATGTTTGATAATCTTTGCTTTAATCATAGACTGTATTTTAGGTGTTCCCTTTTTTCCTTGTTAATTGCGTAGAATGATGCACAGAGTGAACCTCAGCCAAGACCAGTGCGCTGGAAAAAACGTGACAGACAGGGAGCTTTTATTCCTCAAAGACCATCAACCAGTCGAAGTACTAGTTGCATGCCACGTGGTCAGTGTTCACACAACCATTGATTTTATCTCACAACTTGTTTTCACCAAAGAATCTCAGTAAGTAAATATTCTTCATTCCCCCCCCCCCCTCCCTGTCCAGAGAGCAGCATCAATGTCCACGTGAAGAACCTAGTTATGTTGCCAGTGTCAACCCAACAAAAGGTACTTTACCTTCTTGTATATATTGTGATTTCTGTTTACTTTTATATTTGTTGTTATAGTTGAGTTATGCAGGGCTTTTGTGGAGTCCTAAGAAACATACTGCCTAGAGTGTTTTTCAGAGTTTCTTCCTTTCTTTATTTTTTTTCTGTTAGTGTATGGAACTGAGGTGCTTCGTCAGGAGCTCCTTCAGTTGTTGGAGGATGGAGAAGAGGACGCAGCCATGACTTGTGAGACGTCGTCTGAGTCAGCTGCTACTCACTGGGCGATCAGAAATATGGTGTCCTCGCAAAAGTGGAAAGAGGCCAGGCCTTGTCTTATAGACAATATGTTAGCTACTCTGGATCCACAGTCACACCGTGTGTGTCAGTGTGGCAAACAAGTAGTTGTGAGGTGTCTGGACTGCCTGCCTCTTCCATTCCTTTGTGCTGACTGTGATATTGCAGTTCACACACGCTTTGTCCTGCACAACAGAGAGGCAGTAACAGGAGGGTTTTTGCAGCCTTCATCAGAGTTTCACAAGCCAATAGGTACAGTTTTTAAGTCTTATGCATTTCTTGCTATGTATGAGTATGAGTGGGTGCTGTTATTGTATATTTATTGTGTATCAGTTAATTTCTAATTCTTTTTATATATATTGTGTGTTTTAATGTTAGTTCGGCTGTTGCCTGTGCAAAGGCCAGACCATGTGTGTGACTGCCCAGCAGGTAACGTTGAGGTTTCACCCGGCGCAATTGTGGCTCTTGTAACCATAAATGGTAAGTTGCCCTTTTGTCACACACTACATACACAATAGATGTGTTTGGAGGTTTTATTGCAAATTGTGCATTGCTATCTTGGTTTTAATTACCCTCGGCCCGCAGTATATGTGGGCACCTGTCAAAGGTTATTTGGATTTACCAGACCGATTTGAAAACAACATGAAAAAAATTAATGCTTTGAGCCATGACTGAATTTATCCTTATCCTTTCTACAGGGCGTTATAACCTTGCACTGCCAGTGGTGAGCTGCACCAGCTGTGGCCTAATGTGGTCCCCCTCAGTTAAGGACATCCTGGGTAGTGGATATTGGCCTGGCACCTTAAATTTCTGCACCCTGTTTTCAATGGATGTCTTTCAGTCTTTCTATGACATTAAGAAGGCTGCACCAGGGATGTCACTTAAGGCATTTGTCAAAATGCTGGATGAACGAACAGCCCATTTTGGAAGGGTGAGTTTCTAAATTTGCTAAGTTTAAGGAAATTGTGCAAATCAATGTTTATGATGACTGTCCTTGAATATTCTGTTGTATGTCCTCTATGTAAAAGAATGGCCGAATATCAGCTGATGCCTTCAGTAAAAGTTTCTTGGAGTGGAGTGCTGTAACGTTTGAGGTGGACAGGATGTGCAAGGAGCCATGCTTTAGCTGCCCTGCCTGCACTCCAGACATGCTTGCCGTCTCAGTTGATGGAAACCGCAAGCTTTATCGCTTTCAGTCTAATGCAAGGTACGTTATGCATTGTGTACATAAGTCAAATATGGATTTGTAGAAAAATGTATTTTAATGTTTCTTTTCAAACAACTGTCACTGTGTTCGTTCAGCACTTCAGAGCAGGGGAACTTTGAAGGTGTCTTCATTGAAAAAGATGAGGAAGTTGCTGAGTTTGTGAAATACATCCAGAGACACACAAATCATGTAAGATACACATATATATATTAGTGCTGTTAGCGTTAATCTTGTTAAAATGACGTTAATGCCGTAACCATATACACATACGTGTGTGTGTGTGTGTGTGTGTGTGTGTGTGTGTGTGTGTGTGTGTGTAGACATATATGGATGGGTCGATATTTTTTTTATTTTTCTCTTGGTGTTGTCGTAATACTATTTACTTTACTTTATCTTAATGTTTACTTAATTTTGTCACCATGTGTATTTAAAAAAAAACAACATGATTTTTATTTTGTGTTATCAGTGCTGTCCTGGGGAGATCTGAGGTCTTGTGTGACTCGAGGCTAATTCAGCTAATTGTTATGCATTTGTTTTAAAAAGTTTGTCCCTGATAGGGCTTAATCATGTCATGTCTTTTATGTTAAAATCTTTGAGTGTATAGGTCCCGGGGAAAGGGTTGTGCGGATCTTCATCTTGGACTGCAGCAAAGGAGTCGTCCAAAAAGTCCACTGGGAAGTTGGATGAGGAGGGCATGGAAATAGCTGTTTGTCGCCACGGAGTCCTCTTAGCTGCATTGAACATGTTTCGAGGGGAGATCTTTGCTTACCCCCTTTTTCTCCAGAGGAAGTTGGCAGCTAGCATCCCAGGACATATTACGTTCCTTTGCTCCGATGTGGCCTGTAAATATTTCCCCTATTTAACCAAGGTGGCTCAGCAGTGCCCTGAGCTGAGGAACCTCTTGTCAATGCGTCCTTTTCTCTCCGTCATGCATGCAAAGGCTCACACTTGGAAATGCGAGGTATACTGCAGCTTGTAGTTTTGGATTAGTTTGAGACATTTTGTGTCACAGGCTGGGTCTCCGACCCAGCACTCTGAGTTTTCTTTGTATTTTTTGATATGTTATTAGTTTGTGTTATTTCCTATTTGCCTTTAGTTTAGGCAGTTATTGTTCCTGGGTTTTCTATGTTTTGGGGTTTTCTATTTATTTCATCACGTATTAGGTCTGTTAAGTTGTGTTGTCATTTCCTGTTTTATTCTGACAATGTCATGTGTTCTTTGTTCATTGTATTTAGCTTTCCTCTCCTGGTCCTGTCATTAGGTTTATGTCTGTCAGCTGTTTTCCCCCATGTGTCGCCACTTCCCCTGATCACCTCATGTCTGTATTTAAGCCTTTTGTTTTCTTCATGCCATTGTCAGTTCGTCTGTTTATTCTCACCAGAGTTACAGTCATAGTCATAGCCTGTTTATTTTCCACCTCGGTCATAGTTATAGTTTTTGGTCTTAGTACCTTTAGTGTTTTGTTTCTTAGTGTTTTGCCAGCTCAGTGTTTTGTTTCTTAGTGTTTTGCCTGTTTGCTTTGGTCTCTTGGTTCATTTCCTGCCGTCATCGCAATAAAGGTTCACTTTTCTGTTAATCATTACTATTCCTCGTCATCATCTGCTTTTGGGTCCTGTTTCCGCACACATCGGCGCACCCCGCCGTGACAGAACGAACTGACCAGTCATGGACCCAGCGGATTCTGCTCTCACCGAGTCTCTAGAGGAGACTGCTCGGATCCAAGCGATCCTCGACCGCTTCTTTACAGCGCCCGATTTGAAGAGCAAGCTGGTAATGATTAACGCTGCTGAAGCTATTATGGAGAGGGATCCCCGCCTTCTCCAGCTCCCGGACTCACCTGCCATAGTTGATGCCTTTACGAGGATAAAGGAGATGCTGCAGGCCCAGGGACTGTCGAGTCAGGAAATGGCTTCCAGCACCCACCAGTCACAACAACCCCACAATCAGTCATCTCCATTGCTGCCTCCGGAACCTGAGTGTGTTCGTGTCGGTTCGCTGAGATTCGCCGCAGCGTCACCACCTCTCAGCTCACCAGTTTCCACGCCCTCATCACAGTCTCGCCATACTCCTGTCACAGTTCAGCGCGAGGAAGTGCCGCACACCATAGACTTGGACGACGACGAGCGCCAGTCTATATTCTGCGCTCTCTTGGAGGAGGAGCTCCGGTGGAAGCCGTGGCTCATTCCGGAGCACGAGCACTCTTTCCGGGGAACTCGACTGGCTCTCGGGGGACCTCGGAGTTACCAGGGACTTCCACCCATCGCTCCACCGTCTTCCACTCCTAAGAAAAAGCGGCGTGCGCGCCACCGACGCTCCGTATCACAAACGCAAGTGAGTGATTACATTTTGGCTCCTCATGTTTTCTCTCAGGAAGTTGTTGAAATTGACACTACTTTTCCGGTTAATGAGCCCGGCTATACAGAGACTGTTTGCCCTGGAAAAGCTAGCCATCAGGCTCAACTAAGCTGCTGTGGTACTGCTATCCAGGCCGGTTTGGAGCCGGAGACGGAGGTACAGCTGGTGCAGCCAATTTCAGTGTCAGCCGGAGGGCCTCATGTTTCGTCTGCTGGAGGTTCAGGAGAATCCAGCCAGCTTCATGCTTCATTTGCTGGAGGTTCAGGAGAACCCAGCCAGCCTCATGTTTCGTCTGCTGGAGGTTCAGGAGAACCCAGCCAGCCTCATGTTTCGTTTGCTGTTTGCTTTGGTCTCTTGGTTCATTTCCTGCCGTCATCGCAATAAAGGTTCACTTTTCTGTTAATCATTACTATTCTTCGTCATCATCTGCTTTTGGGTCCTGTTTCCGCACACATCGGCGCACCCCGCCGTGACATTTTGTTATAAGGTTGAATGAATTCAGCAGTCATGTATTGTGACCTCCTTTCTATAGATCAAATGGGGAGGTGCGTTTCAGGATGGGGCCGGTTCAACAGTTGGAGAAGAGGTGGAACAAGTAAACAGTTTCCTGTCTAGGGCGGCCATCACAACGAAGTACATGTCTAAAGCAGGTGTGTGTCCGTGTCTGAGATTCCACTCAGTCTCCTGCTCATTAATTCTAATTTGTATACTAACTGAAATGCAGGGCGAACAGACATGCTGACCCTCCTGGCTTTGGGGTGGAACAAAAGGAAAGTGGAATAACTGGGCCGCACTTTGAGCCAGCGATATCTAAAGGTCATTTTTTCAACACCCATTTTAATGTGTGTGGTAATGGGGGGAAAACACCAGTACTCTTTTAATGTCAATATGAATGACATTTATGAATGCATTCTTAGATCATAAGGATCCTTAGAGAACAAGTGGAGAGCCTGAATGCGACCAGAAATGAGCTGGGTGTGGATGACGACACACTGCAGCAATGGGTGGCCGATGTGCAGAAATGGGCTGAAGGTGAGTCTCAATATAGTGCACTCATGTATAACAATAGGACCCACCATTGCCTCATTAAAGAACTTAGAGTTAAGATCTTTCTGACAGTGTCAACAAACAATGAAAAATAAGCCTTGGAAAAGCAAATTTATGGCAGAGTTGTTGCGTTTCATCAAATTGGATAGAACCTGGGTTGAAATGATGTCGTACTAGTTGGTTTTATAAACCTGAACACCAACATACTTGTTATCTCATGATTATCATGAGATAGCAGCACATGAAGGCTCCAGATGTCTTATAATGAATGTCATCAAGTCATTACAGAGTCCACTGTAGTTTGGTGACTGTTACTCATCCTGTATTCTGATTAATATTCCTCTCACTTAGAAAGTGATCAAACTGATGGCAGCCTTGGAGCGTTGCAGGCACGAATAGAGGAGCTTGTCGTCATCATCAGAGTGCGAACACAAAGTCTTTACAGACAAAATGGTACATCCCAGTTTCTTTGAAACGGACCGTTTGATGCTCAGTTTGTACAGCTTGTGCAGCTACTTTGTAAACAGAATCAAATCAGATCCAGGTTTGTTTAAGCTGGATGTGATTTGTTCTAGCAAACAAATTGATGAGTGTAGATTAAAATGAAACTATATACATTATGTGAAGGTGTGAATTTTTTATGATTATTTACAGATAGCAACAAGAGGCGACACAGAATTCGCAAGGTCATCTTAGTTGAGAAGAAACGCTTGGCGGCTGCTGTTGACGACTACAACAAGCTCGCTGAACCAACAAAGCAAATCGTATCCAGTGATGCCCTCATGCAGACCGATATTTGGCCCTGGCAGAGCACAAGTGAACGTAAGCTCTTGATTTATAAATATCCTTTTTAAACAAGCTCCCAGTATCTGAGCAGTAGTTGAATGTTTTGTTCTTGAATCATAATATGCTGCTATGTTTTCCCATCTGATGTTGTTAAACTGTAGCTGCTGCTGACCTCCGGACAAAGAGAAAGGTCTTTGAGAAGGTGATGGCTGTGAGGCGCCTGAGAGAGGAGGAGATGATCCTTTGCAGGGAGATGCGGCATCACTGGACAGTGTTGCGAATGCGTTCTGTGGTGTTGGGGACAATCTCCTCAGACTGTAAGCACTTTATTTATTTATTAATTTTTTGATGAATCGATTGAAAATAAGAGCAGATGCTAAAGTCTTACTGGATCTTTTACCTATATCTAGATTGCTAGCTAACACTGCCTTCTCCCTTTTAAAAAAATGTTTAATTACAGCATCCTAATTCCTTGTGTTTATGAGGTGATGTTTTTTTGTTGTTTGTTTTTTTTACTTTTCTCATATTTATTTGTTTTGTTCTTTTTACAGCCTCCTTTGTTGGCATGTCGGAGGATGCACAGAAGGGACTCTGTAGCCTGGTTTTAAAAAAACAAAGTGAACTGAAAGCTGAAATGCTCAAAGTAAAGGACGTGTACAAGAGAATCCTCAGCCACCAACCACTCCTGGAAATGGACTCGGAGGAGGAGGAGGACATTCCAGACGATGCCACTGAGAGTGATTTGAGCACTTCTGATGAAGACTGATTGTGTCATCATTGATGTTATGTTTGGTAAAATAAAAAGTTAATCACATCTCTGTTCAATGTGATTTTTCAACAGACATTTTACATTTTGAGAAGAAAAATGGAATTTCCTTGGTGCAGTTGTTTACCCTGAATCATTATTTCCCATCTAATTTAATGACTAGTGTACATGTTCAGATACGATAACATAATTTAATTTATGGGATGCTTTCTGGGCTGCTCAAATAATCACAAAATTTAAAAGCACCAGGCAGCACACTCACAAGTAAATTTTTTGTTCAGTGTTTTGTCGAAGAAATCAACAAGTACAACTGAGATGTTTGCTGTAGTGGTGTGTTTGTTAAGAAGCATGCCAGCACACTGGTGAACTGACAGTCCCAGAATGCACCCGTGCCATTGACTCGCCCCAGAGCAAATGAAATTGCTTATCTAGAAAGACAACCGTCATCAAAGAAGAAGTAAAAGAGTAGGAAACAAATGGTAAGGGAAGGTACTGTGGGGTAGGAAAGAAAGGCCAGAGCTGTGCAAAATGACCTCCAGCAGGCCACAAATGTGCACGTCTGCTCAAACGGTCAGAAATGGACTCCATGAGGGTGGTATGAGGGCCCGACGTCCACAGGTGGGGTTGTGCTTACAGCCCAACACAGTGCCGTATGTTTGGCATTTGCCAGACAACACAAAGATTGGCAACTTTGCCACTGGCGCCCTGTGCTCCTCACAGATGAAAGCAGGTTCACACTGAGCACTTGTGACAGTCTGGAGACGCCGTGGAGAACCTTCTGCTTCCTGCAACATCCTCCAGCATGAGTTTGGCAGTGGGTCAGTTTTGGTGTGGGGTGGCATTTCTTTGGGGAGCTGCACAGCCCTCCATGTGTTCGGCAGAGGTAGCCTGACTGCCATTAGGTACTGAGATGAGATCCTCAGACCCCTTGTGAGACCATATGCTGGTGCGGTTGGCCCCGGGTTCCTCCTAATGCAAGACAATCCTAGACCTCATGTGGCTGGAGTGTGTCAGCAGTTCCTGCAAGACGAAGGCATTGATGCTGTGGACTGGCCTGCCCATTCCCCAGAACTGAATCCAATTGAGGACATCTGGGACATTATGTCTCGCTCCATCCACCAACTGCACCACAAAATGTCCAGGAGTGGGCAGATGCTTTAGTCCTGGAGTCTGGGAGGAGATCCATCAGGAGAGCATCTGCCACTTCATCAGGAGTATGCCCAGGTGTTGTAGGGAGGTCATACAGGCATGTGGAGGCCACACAGACTAGTGAGCCTCATTTTGACATGTTTTGAGGACATTACATAAAACCAGATTAATGATTCTGTATTGCATTGATCAAGGAACCAACCCAATAGGAGCTAAAGGAATCCTCTTGACATTACTTCACTCAGTAAGTTTATACTATGTTTAATGTGCATTTTCTTCATCAGTTTAGAACATAACATGTTAGCGCTCCCTGGTCCTTTTTGGAGACAGATCCTGAGACAGCAGGCAGCTATGGAGAACTCGTGTCAGCTGTGGTAATTAAGGAATACTTTGATTTAATATTGATTTCATGACAACTATCCTCTGGCACATATTCCTGGATATATATAATGACATAAGTAAACTCCCATTTTAGAATCATTGCCTTCGTTCATCTGACTTATTGCCTCAGACTTTGGCCCTGTGTCCCCAAAAGTATAGAAAATCCATGACACTGAGTAAGAGGCCTTTATCATGTTATAAGTGAGAGAGTTTGGTGTAACAGTGGTTGAACATGCCAAATCAATCCACAACATACTGCCATTCCCCAGCTGTAACCTGCATATGCATCAAACCAAAATCCAGTATCATAGCCACAAAAAAGACATAAAGATTAGGTTAAAAGGGTTGTCTCATTTTGCCAGATAGCTTCATCCCAAAAAAGATAAACATTCTTCAAAAACAAAAGTTTGTGAATATTTGCTGTATTGCCAGGCCTAAACCAACCTGTTAAACTTATCAAATTATTGTCATAGATACAAACCTATTGATTGAAACAGAATAATCCATTGAAGCCTCCATCATCATCCACAATCACTGTTACTGTTCAGATTATTTTATCTCTGTTTTCCTCTAGAATGTTTTGAAAATCAGCATTTGATCAACAGACTTTTTAAAAGTTTATTTTGATCCTATTGTTTACGTGTGTAATTGCATTTTTATTGAAATTATGACAGGAAAACCCTCAATCAAATTGTATCTTTGATATCTAATAATAATATTAACAATAATGTTACATATGTAATATGTACACAATAATATTGTGCAAACAAACAAGAAAAAAAGCAAAAAATGTCAATTTTTTTTAATACCCTGTATATAAAGACCACATATGACCACAACTCCAAATGTGCAATTGTCACTGCATCTAAACATGACATATTACAAAAAGGTAGAAACATATAATATACAATATGTTCTGAAGCTGGTACTGGTGCAGTTAACTTTGCTTTAGGCTCCCATACACAGTAGGTGTTACTTACTATACGTGCAGTGCAGTATTACTTTACCTTGTAATATGTTATAATAAGCAAGTCACTTCTATATTTATGAGGATGTAGACAATAATGTTGGCTGATATGTAAAACTATGAGATGTCGAGTGCAGGGAAGATATTATTGATCGATCAGATTCGTGAATATGTTAGGTACTTAAGCCACAATTAGAGAGTGAAACAGAGACTGACACTGGTTGAAATGTATAGTAAATATTTTATTTTGAACTTTTATGCTGAACTACAAGCTGTGAACTGTGCGATCTCTGCGACCTGTGGTGCCTGGTTTACTGTGTGTAAAACTGCGCAGGTTCCCATGTGTCATCCCACACTTTGCCACTGTCAGGAGAAAAACATAACAAACAACAACGACAACCACACACAAAATAGGACAATTTAGGTTGTGACATATGACAATTTTTTAGGATGAAATATCTTCTATATTCATGTCATGCTTTATACACCTTCATTGTAATATAAATTAATCAAATCAAGTCAGAGAGTATTAATATATGTAGTAGATGTCAAGCAGGACCACAGCAGCAGCCACGATCCATTGGAACCTGCTGGATGAGAGAGCACAGAAACTCCAGGGAAGAAGTTTAGTTAGTAACATGCATGAACTGCATTACTGAGACATGTATGTTTACAGATGGTGGTGAG